TGAACACTGCTGTGACTGTGGGCGTCCTGGGGCAGCGAGCGGGGAACAGAGGGTCTCAGGAAGCACAGGCTCAACCTCAGCTTTCCAGCAGCAGCACCGGGTCCACAGGCCGGCGGTCAGCCTGCCCAAATGCCCAGGACTCTCCACATGCTGCTCACACTGTGTGGGAGCACGCGTACACGCAGACACACTCGGGCATCACTCCGGAGCTGACGCTGCCAGGGCGCTGGCTTGGTTAGGAGGAGCCAGCGAAGCTGGGGCTCCCAGACAGGAGTTAAGGAAGCAGCATCCATGGACGGCGTCAGCACTCAGGGCCAGCCCACCCCCAGGCTGGGCTTGGCCAGTGTCCAGCGGGACCTACCGTCCATCTGCATCTTCTTTGGCTGCATGGAGGGTGAGGACACGGACGACGTGACTCTGAAGTTTGCGGGCAGCGTCTCGGCGGAGCCGGCCGCGAGGCCACGGCTGTCTTTGGGTCTGAACTTCTTCCTCCAGGAAGGCGCTCTCCTCAAGCTCCTGTCCTCGTCCTGTGTGTGACGAGGAAGGACCGGGCTCTGAGAGAAGGGCACGGCCATGGCCCTCAAGGTCACCAAGGCCTCCTGCTTTCAAACTGTGCTGGGGGCAGTCTGATGGGGCAAGTCACTGCCCACTTCCAAGGGGCACATGTCGGACTGGTGACAGCGACCTGGGACCCCATCAGGGGTGTGGGGAGGCCTCTTAGCACTTCCCCTGGGCTTCCTGTTTCTGTCCATCTGTCTTCCTTGCTGCCCTAAGCTTTGCCTCTGGACATGGTTGCTCTTGGAGAGTGGGAACTGGGACAGGGTAGAGGAGGGGGCGCCCAGCCTGTAGGAATCACCCACTGAATCTGTGAGAGGACCCTCTGTGGGCCATCTCAAAGATGGTCCTCGAGTTTCTGAGCAGCTTGTAAAGTCTGGGCTGAGACACTGCCCTCGGCTGCCCCTCGTCCCCGCCAGTCCTGTCCCTGGAGGCCCAACAGGAGAGGCAGGCGTGCCAGTGCGGGAAGGAAGCAAGGATGGAAGGAGGAGGTTTGGGGTGAAAGAGGCAGGCTGAGGCTGCCCCCTAACACCCGCCGCCAGCACAGCGGCTCCCAGTGGCCCTCCATGCTGGGTGGCATCTTGGGGGTTCTGGGCTCCCAGGCCCACTGCCTGCTGCGAAACACTAGTTCTAACCGCTTTCTGCTGTGGAGTTGTGCCCTCGGAGGGCCGTGGGCACCTGGAGCAGGACGAGAAGGGACCCCAGCTATGTCAGCACCAGGAGCTCACCTCGTCTAGCCTTCTGTCGGTGCCCATGACCAGGAGGCTGTTGAACTCCCTCTCGAGGACGGCCCGCGCCTGGAGGGGCAGACAGGACGGAGCTCTGGCCACAGCACCCGCCCCCCACAGGCATGAAAGGCGCTCCTACATCAGGTGTGCTTCAAACCACAGCCGCCCCTCAGAAGTAAAATCACTCAGCACCCCACCCCACCCCCGGCAGTTGACCACTCTCTTGCTGCAGCCCACCATGCAGGACAAGTGGCAGGTAGCAGCGTGGGCAGCGCCAGACCTTCAGGGAGACACTGAGTGAGACACAGGGCAGGCCAGCAGCCGGGAGGGGGTGGTGCCAGGTGACTGGCCAGAAGCCATTTGTAAGCATTTTAGTAAAAACGACAAATGAAAGGTGTCCTAGATCTCAAGCGCACCACGACTCAGGAAGAATTCAAGGCAATTCATTCGCATCCCGGCCCAGGGTCCTCTGCCTGTGAAGCGCGCTCAGGCTGGCCCTCTCCGAGCACACGGCCTGGCTAAGGCAGGCCGAACCCAGATGCTGCCGCTGGTGGGGGTGGGGGACCAGCATGACTCAGGGCGGATGTGACCAGGGACCCGAGGGGCGGGCGGAGGCTACCTGTGTGTTCTGCGTGGGGATCTGCAGCAGCAGGGCCAGCGTGCTGAAGTCGAAGGTCTCGTCCAGGGCCAGCAGGGCACCGTGCACGCCGCTCTCCAGCAGGTTATTGGCGTATTCCTTCAGGCCGATGGACAGCACCCAGCGCACCACCCGCTCGTTGCTCCACACCAGTACATCTGTGGGAGAGAGCGGGAGTGGCACAAGGGCCTCCAAACCAACCACTCACACACGCCTGTGGCCCTGACTGGCCGGTGGGGCCCTCCCCATGCAGGCCCTGACAAAGGACAGGGACACGTGGGGCCCTGCTGTACCCCCACAAGGACACTTCCCTTAGCGCCGACTCTTCCAGTGAGCCCAAGGGGGTGATGGCATTGTGCACACTCTATTCCAGGGAGCGGAAGACGGCGAGGACCCAGGACTAAGTAGAAAGATGAACCTACAAGTTCAAACAAGTGTCTCTGACCAAGACCCCCACATCCGGGCGGGCACCCACCGGGCTCGAGGCCCCACCAGCCCCCCCTCCAGCCTGCAGACCATGCTGACACTGCGGGCGGTGGACAGGCTGGGTCACGGTGGGGTCTGGAGGAGGGCGGACCTCGAGTGGCTGGAGGGCCACAGAGCTGCTGGCCTAGAGCCCGCGACGGCGCGACTGCACCCAGGTGGCCGCCAACCACGTGCAAGGCCAGCCCTCGGAGTTTAAAAGACGTGATCAGAACACGAGTGACTAGATTCACGCGCTTCCTCTTCAGTGCCCTTTCCTGGGCAAGAGGACATACATGCAGTTGCCAGGGTAAGTCAGAAGTACTGCCAGCAAAACCCAAAACACAGGAATCTTACACACACACACACACACAGATGTGGAGGTGCTGTCTCTAGACAGACCTCCACCGGGGTCTACACTCCTGAAGGTGGTGTGTCCATCTCTCTGGCCCTCGTCCACTCTCCCCCACGTCCGGCGCATTGGCTGTGCTGTGCGGGTGTGTGTGCTGCCCTGCCACGGGTCCTTCAGTGCCTGCAAGGGTGGCCGGTGGACCTGTTTCAGTGGAGCTTCCCGACCGACTGGGACTCGGCGGCAGGAGTGGGCTGCCGGCCTCTGCGCAGGAGCCAGCGAAGGCCTCGTGGGCAGGGAGCACGGAAAAGCTGACAGCCACTGGGCTCCTCGGGAGTGCCGGAGGACACGCGCTGCGGCAGAGCGGCCTCTCCGAGCAGCCGGCTTTAATGACCGGTCAGAGAAGAGCCTGTGGGAGCAGGGCCCCTCTGCTGCTGATGAGAAGAACCAGCTGCGCCAGCAATGACGACCGGACCTGGGCCGTGGGAAGTGTGAGAGCGGGAGATCTGGGAAGTGCCGAGAAGGAAATGGGACGCACAGAGCTGTGCATTCTGGGCCCCAGTGCACCCGACAGACAGCCATTGCTTTACCACGCGGGCATGGCAGCACCGTAGAGACTGCAGCTTTCATGGTCAGAAAGCACACGTTGGGCTCTCCCGTGAAGGTCAATCCTGCCTGTAGGAGGACAATGTCTACCCCGCAGGCGTCTTCAGTTGGAAACTGCCCAAAGGCGTAATCAAGATGCATTGATAAGTATTGACCAATGAAATGGAAAACTTGGAAACAGAGGAAGTAAGAGAAGTTGGAAAATTAAAAAACAAAACAGAAAAAGTTGGAAAATAAGGCCTGTCTTGGTGGTAGGAACCAAGCTGGTGATCACATGACAGAATTGTGTAAGACCAGTGGCTTGTTCACTGCAAGTACTTGTTTCAACAACACACACACCGACGACATACGTGGACTTCCCCACACGGAAGGCAGAGAAACCAAGCTGACTACATCTACGCCATGGGTGTGTGGGCGAGACGATGGAGAAGCTCATTATCAACAGCTAAAACCAGGCAACTATGGGACAGACGACCGACTGCTCGTGTCTAAGCTCAGGCTGAAGCGGAAGAAAACTGAAATAAGCCCACGAGAGCCAAGACACAGCCTCGCGCCCAGCCCACTTGACTCTCGAGGACGTCTCAGGAGCAGCACCCATGAAGAACACAAAAGGTCACTGAAAGGACAGGACGATACCAACTGTGTGGACCCCCCAGCCCCCGCCGGAGGAATGCACCTCAGAGGACAGCTTGGGGAGAGGGCATGTCTGATTAGAGCACTCGGGAGAAATGGAGAGGGATGGAGTGAGGGGACACATCCTGGCCCACCAAGCCCCAAGGGCAATATTCCCGCTCAGAGCAGACAATACACAGCGAGGACCACAGGGCCGGCCCCACCGGGAGACATGGTGTGCCTCCCTGACTGATCCATAGTGTTAAAGGGGGCAACACTGCAGACACAGTGCGGGATTTGTGCCCAATCTGACCCCACCACACTGAGGCGAAACAGTTCAGGCACACAACAGAGCAGCAAGGGGAGCAGAGTGATGAAATCCCCGGGGAATAGACGTTGGAGCCAGAGTGTGGCACCCCATCCACTGGAGAACACTCGTAAAGGCCAACAAACAGTCCTTGAAACAAGAAAGCAAAGGACAGGAAGGAAAAGCCCACGGTGGGTGCAGGAGACTCTGCAACCACTCTCCGTGGTGGGTCCCAAGGCAAGTGGAAGAAAGGACGGAAGTCGAGAGACAGCTGAACAGGAGTCGCTGGGCAGCTTGAGAAGACCAAGTGAAAGACTACCCATAAAGAACACGCAGGAGCCTGGAGTTACTAACCCAGAAGGGAAACGAGCTCTGCGTGTCTGAAACGGATCTTGCTCTCGAGACAACTCAAGCCTCAAGTTGCAACAGTGAAGGATTCTGTGGCAAAATATTGAATGACGCAGGGAGCATCAAAACAAGATGGAAGAATACAGTCACTGGACCAGGAAGAACCGGTCGACGTCCCACATTTCAAGAGGCAGCATCGGATCAGGAGCCAGTGGTGCTAAAGGAAGACGTCTAAGCTGCACTGAAAGCATTAGGCAAAAACAAGGCTCCAGGAACCGATGGCACACCACGCCGATGAAGCACTGGGAGGACTTGCTTGCCTGTGCCAGGAGATTTGAAAGACAGCCATTTAGCAACTGCCTGGCCGAGGTGCACGTGTGCACCCATTCCCAAGAAAGGTGACCCAACAGAGGGCGCCGACTAGACCACCAGCACTGATGTCACACACGCCGCAAATGCTGAAGACCGTCCACCTGCGGGGGCTGCAGCAGCACACTGGCAGGGAGCTGCCAGAGGCGCAGGCTGGATTCAGAAGGGGCTGTACACTAAGGGAAACCATGGCTGAGGTCAGAGAACGTCAGAAAGACACTGACCTGCGAACAGAAGAAGGGAACACTGCACGGTTTAAAATCCTGGAGCCTTGGTGGCGTGGTGGTTAATTGTTGGCCTGCTAACTGCACGGTGAGCAGTTCAAAACCTCCAGCCAGTCCTCGGGAGAAAGACGGGGCTTTCTTACCACGTACAGAGTTAGTCTTGTAACTCACAGGGTGGTTCTAGCCAGTCCGACAGCTGCTTTGGGTCGGCATTGAATCCATGCCAGTGAGTTTGTTTGTTTGGGGATTTTGAGAGTTAAAATCAGCAAAAGTGTGTGTCGGAGTTCTGTTCTCACAAAACATTCGATCTGTACACTGTGCAAATCACCCGAGAAGCTGGACTCTGTGATATCATGTGGCTTCAGGACTGGAGGAAGGCATCTGCACAACCTGTGGCGTGCAGGTGACAGACAGCACCTCGCTGGCTGAGACTGAGCAGCACTTGAAGCCCTTGCTGAAGATGAACATCAAGGACGAGCCTCAGCGTGGACAACCACTCAACGTAGAGAAGATCAAAAGACTCACAACTGGACCGATAGGTAACATCATGATAAGTGGGGAAAAGATTAGCGTTGTCAGACTTGTCTTGCTTGCACACAATCAGTGCTCGAGGACACAGCAGTGAGATCACGTGACGCACTGCACGGCTCGGCCTGCTGCACAGACCTCTCTTGTGGTGTTGCAAAGCAAGGACTCTGAGCACCGAGGTGCGCCTGACCCAGGTCGTGGTGTTTCCCACGACCTCCTATGTGTGTGACAGTTGGACACTGGCCAAGGAAGACCGCAGAAGAACAGGTGCATCTGACGATGGGGCTGGCAGACACTGGAAGCACCGCGTGTGCCAGAGGACAAGCAGGTCTGTCTGCAGGAACAGCCGAGTGCTGCTGAGGCTCCGTCTACACACTCGGGCATGCTCTCTCTCGGGAGAGGCACTGCACTCACTGCATTTGGGAAACGGAGGAGCTGCGAAGGAGAGGAAGGCCCTGAGGAAGGCGAGACGATGCAGTGTCTGCGACAAGGGGCTCACACTTAAGAACAACGGTGAGGAGGGTGCCGGACCAGGCGGTGTGTCCTTCTGTTGTGCATCGGGACCGACACCAGGGCACCTCACCACCACCCCCCCCAGCCTCCCCGCACCCTCTTCCCTCCAGCACACTCTTCCCTTCACATCACAGGCAACTCGGGCTGCGCATCCTCTGGGGCTCCAACCAGGCTCTCCTTCTAAGTGGTCTCTGCGCTCCGGGGACCCAGCACAAGTGTGCAGGGCAGCCCAGGGCTGGAGGCTGGGCAGGGTGCGGTTTCCACGAGACGCACACAGGGCCACCCTTGGATGTCTGCAGAGTGAGCGGGGACACTGTCCTGACGGGGACGTCCCTCAGAGCAACTCTCCTGGTCTCTCTCTCGCCAACACAAGCTCCTGTTTTCTGAACCCTCCCTCCCCGCAGGCCTCTATAATTGCCCCGTCCTTCCAGAGTACCCATCAAGGTCACCCCTTGGGGGTCCTGGGAAACAGTCCCCATCCCCTGCTGCACTGACCTCTCTGTCTGGAGCCGACCTGGCCCCGCCAATCCCCTTAGAAGCCCTCACCCTGAAAGGACCCTTGTGCAGGCGGCCGGCGGGTCTGAGGAGCGCATGACTGCGCGGACTCCCTGCAGCCCCTGACGACGGCGGCGGCAGAGACAGATGTCAGGGCTCTGTGGGGTGGGCCCAGTGTCTATGAACTGGAGCCCACAAGCAGTCCCTGGGGTCCCTGCAGACCCACGGCCAGAGACCTCCTGGCTATGGGGTGCCCGCGTCCATGGTCTTCTCACTGGTCGCACACGGTCTTACTCAGGAATCCCTACACCTCCAACAGGCTGCTTCCTACAAGGACAGCGTGAACCCAGCACTCGCTCCTCAGAGCAGGGGCCAGCCAGGGACTGCAACGGGCCACAGCCGGCCTGTGATCTCCATGGGAGGAGGCCCCCGCCTACTCACCAACCTCAACCCTGTGTTCCGAGCCCCCTCACTACCTGAACATCGTCTTCTTTAGAACCAGCCAGGATGCCCTGGGGCCAGAGCTGTTCTGGGCTCTTGTGCCCACCAAAGCACCTGCGAAATCAAGGGTGGGCACCAGGGGCTCCACAGTGCCCGCTGCCAGTGTGTGACCGTGTGTGTGTGTGTGTGTGTGTGTGACTGAGCACATGCATGTGTGCTGCTGGCGTGGAACCATGTGTGTGTTCTGCCAGCGTGAGGCTCAGTGTGTGTGTTGCTGGCACATGACCACATGCATGTGCTGCAGGTGTGTGACCGTGAGCACGTGTGGTTCCCACCTCTGCCCAGCAGCATGAAGACCACAGAACAGCACGCAGATGGCATTTATAATGTCCCAGGGCCCCTCAGCTGGCAATGTGTCTCTGAAGACGTGGGTCTGAGTCTTCCTCTGGCCCGAAGGGCAGCTCAGCCACCCCAACCCCTGCCCACGAAGCCAGGCTGGCATCTCCGGGACGGACGCAGGCGCGTGCCTGCCTGATATTGGAAACGAGATACTGGCCTTTGATTTCATTCTGGCTCTCTTCCCGCTTCCTCTCCAGCTCCTTCCGGTCGTAGTTCAGCCTCCGCAGACACATGATCCCGCACTGGAAACTGTTTCTGTGAGAGAAGAGGAAGGAGGAGGTGCCGAGGTGGCCGTGCGGCTGGGCGCTGGCGGGGGCGGGGGGTGCTCCCACCTGTGGAAGCTGTCCACCATCTTGAGCTGGCCTCGCAGGTCCTTCTTGGTGAGGTGGTCCAGCATGCGGGCGTCCACAAGGCACTCCATGAAGTAGCTGCGGAACTGCGGGAGCCCCAGGCTCGGCAGCCACTCGTTGCCGATCCACTCGTGGTTCATGTCGCCATACGCCAGCGTCTGCATGTGAGGAAGCAGCATACGCGGGGGGCTCGGGCGTGCCCGGGGCCAGCGAGGGACACGCTGCTCTTTCTCACGCTGCCCCTTTCAATGCCAGGGAGCTGCCAGACAGGCCAGAGGGCTCCGTTGAAAGATGGACAACTCACTTGTGATTTAAAATGGAATTTACAGACCCCACAGCAGGATGGCTATAGCCACCCGAGCCTGCCTGAGAGGCCGTTCCTGGTTAGTGGCACAGCCGCCCAAGCAGACCGGGACTCACGAACAAGCTGGAGGCCCGCCCCGGGCCGCCCGTGAGACCCTCCTCCCCAGCTGGGCTCTGCCGGGTGCTTTCCTCCCTGCAGGTCCGAGAAGAGGCCGCTGGAATCCCCAAATCAGGGGAAAATGGGATGAAAACAGTCTAAAGACGATCAAAACAGAGCGAGAGCCAAGGGAGCCTCCAGGAGGCACAGAGCTGGCTGAAGGCTGCCCCCCTCCCTTCAGCGGCTGAGAGAATGGAGGGCCCAAGTCAGCCCTCCCAGGGCCCCCTGCTCCCGGGGGTGGGGTGGGGGCTGGGGGGAACACAACCCTGCTCAGAGTGCACTGGGCCCGCCCCAAGGCAGGAGACTGACGCCCTATCTGAAGGCAGAGAGAGTATCCAAGGTGCGTCCTCAGTGCCAAGAGAATTCCATGGGGAACCCTTTGTTGCAGGGCATCTGAAATTCCTCGCCCGCCGAGAGTCAAGTGCGCTTCCAAATAACCCATGTCAGAGATGTCACAGGAAGAGTGGGAGAGATCCGGAACGGAGTGCAGGTGGAAGCCATGAAACCTCCCAGGTGTGTGGGGCCCGGTCCCAGCGGGCTCTGAGGACCAGAACAGGGGCAGATCGCAAACCAACGTCTCAGTCTACCGTCAGAAGTGACAAAACAATGACCAGAGCAGCCAACGCGCACAACGAGGGAGGAAACACAAGAGCAGCTGCCACGGAGAAGGGGGAGGGGCACAACAGGCCACGCGGGAGACGACGTGCGGAGTGCAAGCTGAATCTCAAATATCCAAATGCCGAACATCAAGGACGAAAGGGAGATGACGCTACAGCAACGAGGAAGGGGCATGTGGACATTTCCACCCACTTCGAGGAAACAGACATGCCCCTTGAGATGTGTCAGCCATCGGAGCTCGGGGAGCAGCAGACAACAGACGACCACACAGACAACCCTCCAGCCAAGGAGCGTGAAGTTGCAGCTCAAAGTTGACCCACGAAAACCCAAGCCCTACAAACAAGGAAAACACCCCCTGGAGAGCTCTGCTAGTGATTTCCGCCACACAGCCATAGATAAATGTGGGCTCTATGCAAGTTCTTGTAAAAAGTTGGAGGCGTGTCCTAATTCGCCACGTGACACCAGTTCCCGACAGCCACACCAGAGCGAGGCACCGACGACAAGTAAGACGAGAGACCTACATCCCTCGAGGACACTTAGAAACACTTGTCCTTCGGTGCCGCACCATCTGGACACCACGTGCAACCGAGCGCGCGCCGGGTCCCCCCACCCCACCCCACCCCCGTGCTCCCAGTGTCTGCGGCATTTCCCCTCATCACTGCCCCTGTCTCCCCAATCACGATGTCTCCTCCAGGGGCTGGCCTCCCCTTTTATAACATGTCCAAAGCACAGGGACGGCCTCCCCGTGCTCGCCTCTCAGGAGCACTCTGGCTGCACTTCTTCCCAGACAGGTTTGCTTGTTCTTTGACGGTCCTGTTCTTCCAATGTGCCTCGCCAGCGCCATCCTTTGAGTGACCGGCTCTTCTCCCATCTTCCTTCGTCAGTGTCGGACTTCCACGTGCGGAGAAGGTGGTGGAGAATACCATGGCTTGGCCAGGCGCACCTTCGTCCTCAATGTCCAACCCTTTAAAGAGGGCGTGTGCCGCAGACCGACCAATGTGGTAAGCCCATGAGCACAGACTGTGGGTCCTTGACAACTCCAACCAGCTCTCCACTGATTGCGATGCCACTTATTGGTCCAGTTGGGAAGATGTGGGTCCTAACGTTTGAGTTGTCATCCATCCTGAAGGCTGCAAAATCCTTGGTCTTCTCGGGAAGGGCTCCACGTCCTCCTCGCTTTCAGCAAGCAAGGTGCTGCCTCTGCATAACACAGGTGGTTACTAAGCCGCCCTCCAATCCTGAAGTCATATTCCTCTACATAAGGGCCAGCTTCTCTATATGCTCAGCACACAGATCAAATAATTAGGATGAGAGGAGACAACCTGAGGTACACCTGGCTTGATTGTAAACCATGCACAATCCCTGTTCTGTTTGCACAACTGCCTCTTAATCCGTGCACAGGTTCTGCACAAGCACAATGCAGTGTTATGGAATTCCCATTCTTTGAAAGACTATCCATAGTTTATGATCCACACAATTGAATACCTTTGCATATTCAATAAAATAAACATCTTCCTGGTATTCACAGCTCTCAGCCAAGATCCATTTGAAACCAGCACTGACATCGTTTGTTGCATATCGTCTTCTGAATCCAGCCTGAACCTCTGACCACGGCTGCAAAGGCTGCTAGGTGGCCGTCAGCAAGGACAAAGGGAAGGAAGCTTTAACAGACGGGAGCAAACCACACCAATGACACAGGAGAAGGAGAACACAGCACACAGGTGGGCATTAAGCTCAGGAAACTTTAAAAGAGAGCACGGGTGGTACAGCGGTTGCACAGTGGACTGTGATGCACAAAGCTGGCAGTTCGAGACCAAGAGCCGCTCCTCGGGTGAAAGACGGGGCTTTCTACACCTGTAAAGAGTTACAGTCTAGGTCCCGGTGTATCGGCCTCCACTTGATGGTGGTGAGTGTGGTTTCCTCGAGTCTAACATTTGACGATCAACCTAACTTGCTTATTAACAGACTGATGCGGAAGCACTTGAGCACACGGAGGCTTGGCCCGCCCTCAGGGCTCTGCACTGCCCAGAACTGGGAGTGGGCAGGCATTCCCCCATCCTCATCCTCCCAAGATCATGGGCCAGGACAGAATCTTCTCTCCCCTCGGTTCAACAGGTGAGGGGGTGGGGGGCTCTAGATGAGGGCGGGTAGCAGAAAGGAACTCCGTCCTGGGAGCTGGAGGAGAAATCAGGCGGCTCTGTTTGCATTTTCATGTCAGAACGAGGAGCTACTGGAGTGTCTGGAGAACACAGCAACAGCAACGTGAGCGGCCACGCCCGAGAAAGGACTCGTGCACAGCGGGGCAGGCAGCCACGTCCCACGAGTCTGAGGGAGGCCGGCCTGGGCTTCCCGGCAACAGCAGCTCCAACCGCCCCGTTCTGCCCTGGATCTGGCCTCCGTCACCCGTGCCCCCTTTGTTCTAGTCCCCGGAGGGCACGGCCCACGAGCCAACAAGAGAGCTCCGTGACCCAGGAAGCTTCGGCTCCCTATTTTCTCAACGTCACCACACGTTGGGTACTTGTGAGGATAACCGATGATGTCACCATGTTCTGGTCTCGGGTCACACCGGGTTGGCCCTCACAGTGGGGCTGCCTGGCACCATCTCCCGGCTGCGCCCCAGGGCTCTCACGTGGACACACACGGAAAGGGCGTGGTCTGGAGCATTCCGAGGAAGCAGAGCCAGACGACTGTGCACAGGTCCTGACTGTGCTTTCTGTGTGGCCGAGAACTTGAGCTTCCCGCAGCCACAGCAGCTCCGAGAACCGAGTAGGTGCGTGCGCAGCATCAGCTCCGGCAGTGTGGACGCCTGTGTGACCCACAGCAGCCGGGGCTGACCTGAAGCCGGAAGGGTCACTAGGAGGCAGCAGTGCTGTGTCCCACCCTCCTCCCTCCGCTGCTTCCCAAGAGCCCCAGGGACTGGCTGCACATGAGGTGCCACCCGGCAGCACTTGGCCTCACTCACAGCTCTGCGCGCTGACACCCACCCCCACCCCTGCAGATGCCTGCGGCCTCGCCCATGAGTGAGTGCGGGCCAACTGAGCTGGGACCCTGCATCAGGAGCCCAAGCCACATCAGCTCGCGGGCAGCAGAGCAGCAGGGACGAGGGTATCAGCAGCCGGGCTGAGACCAGCTGGAGTGTTCTAGGGTGAACTGTTCTCCAGGAGACCCAACCACGTGCGAGTGTGAGTCTGTGTGTGTGGGGGGGGGGGGGGGGGGTGTCAGGGTGCAGGCTGTGGGGGTGAGATTCGTGGACTGTCCAGCATGCAGGAAGCAGAGCAGACAGGCCTGTGAGCCGGGCAGTGGGCAGAACCATGTCCCCTGGAGACATGGAGAGGGCACTCAGAAATGTCCCAGAAGCCAGCTTCCCCGGCAGCAGGCCGAGGCTGGGCCCACCCAATGGGGTGGCAGATGTCACCTCAGAAGAGTTTCCCCGCGGAGAAGTCGTGTTCCAGCACAACTGGTGCGAAGGAAACGAAATGCCCTGTGCAGGCCCCGGGGAGGAGGTCAAACTTGTCCATGAGCCGTGCTCAGCCCTGCTCTGGCCCCCACCACGTGAGCTCGGGGCCTGCATCAGGGGCCCCCCACCACATGCGCCCCCCACCCCACCCTGGGCCTGCACCCAGGGGGGCAGCCCACAGGGGTCCCTCTCGGTCTGTGCTAAGGCCGTAGGGTTTGGGAGTAGTACAGAGAGTCTCCCACCTGAGCCCAGCTTCCCTCCTCATCCTCCTGAGGTTACGTGGTCAGGATGCAAAAGAACAGAACTGTTAGTGTGGCCGCTCGAGGCTGTGCAGCCGACACAGCTGCACTGAGCACACAGGTCCCAAGCAAAGCAAACAAACAAGCCAACAAACCACTCAGCTGCATGCAGGGCGCATGCCCACCCGCAACCCCTTCTCATGCAAGGGCCTGACCGGGGCTAGCATCTCCCCACCCTGGCCCTTCTGGAGGGTCGCAGCGCCAGCAAGGTAGGCCCTGGACAGCGGACACGCACAGGCTCCCCCTGGGCACTCAATGCACACCAACGCTCCCCAGCGCAACGGCCGAGGGCCGGGCGCACTGACCGTGTGGGGCGTGGCCGAGAGTGTCTCCATCTCCTCGTGTGTTAACCAGACATTCCCTGTGGTCTAGGGCCCGGCGCGCCCATCACGTCCAGGCAGCAGCGAGGAGAGGAGGCAGACAGGTAAGCGACAGGTACACGCAGCAGCAGCAGCAGGGGCCCAGGGGAGAAGCTTCGATGATCTTCAGTGTACACACCCTCCCCCGTCACTGGGCCGCCGCTGCCGCCAACACGAGGCAGACCAGCGAAAGCGAGAGGAAACCCGAGTGCACTTTTAAGCTACGAACACGACTCTCAAGAAGCGGTCCCTCGGCACGGCGGGGTGACCCCACCAGGCAGAGCGTCCAACACGGCAGCAACAACACTCCTGCCGGGCAAGCAGCAGGGCGCCGGCTCCAGGGGGCAGGCTGTAGGACTCAGGGAGAAGACCCAGGCTGCATGCCCCTGGATGGAAGTGCCCCAGCTGGAGTCTGTACCCCAAGAGTGTGGCCTTTATGTTGGGGCACCCAGAGCAGTACTGCCTGACTAACCAGCGTCTCCCAGGAGCAGGGGCCCCACAGTCAAGCAGGGCTTTCCGGAGCCCACGTTTGTGCAGCACACAGACTTCAGACACAGCATGTGCTGGTAGACGCCAGGCTGGGGTCTGGGCAGGTCACAAAGCGCTCCATAGCTACGCCTGTTGGGGGGCCTCCCCTGGGCCTGGTGGGGCCCTGGTTCTAGCTGTGGGTGCAGGTACACTGGGCTCTGTTTAGCACAGAGCCTGGGGCCCACCTGAATCCCTACTTCGGAGCCCTGGTGGCACACACAGTTGACAAGGGGCTGGCGGCTCAGCCTTGCCCGAGGGTGCCTTGGAAGAAGGGCCGGGCAGTCAGATAGTCAGATCCAGGAAGGCCATGGCTCTGCAGACAGTCCAAAGCAGATGCCCGCGGCCAACCGTGGGCGCTGCATGAGCCATGACAGGGAGCCGGGACCCAGCTCCACTCCCACTTCCCTCCTCCGGCCCCAAGGGTGAGCAGTCCCGCAGACGAGCATGACTACCCCGTGAAGGCTTCTTCACTCACATCACAGGCAGCACGAGCGGTTCTCACGCATACGGGATGTGGTGAGCCTGCACCCGCTCCCCGCCCCACTCACCGTGCGGGATGTGGCAGGGGCCGACGGGCTGGTCAGGGACATGATCTCCTGGATGGCCAGGCGCAGTTTGAGTCGATGCAGGGGGTTGCTGATGCCGATCTCCCGCTGGATCTCCGTGTCTGACAGCGCCGACATGATGGCTCCGCTCTTCACGTTCGCACGGCATGCCGCCACGTACCAGGCCGGCATCCCCACCCAGAGCTGCAGGCAGATGGGCAGGTCAGGCCAGGCCAGGCCAGTGCAGGCTGGGCCTCAGCCACTGCGCACAGCCCCGCCCCTTGCGGGCTAGGGGAGGCGGGGACAGGGGTGGGGGGCAGGCAGTGGGCTACCTCTAGCCACACGACGACGGTCGGCCCGTCCCACTGTGCGAACGGCAAGCCCTGCCTCCGAGCCTCCTCCAGCAGCTCGTGCCTGCAAACAGGACAGACACTGTGAGACCCAAGCAGCCGGTGGCCCTGTTCCCTATGGCCAGCTCAGGCGCCCGTTTGTCCGCTCACAGCACAACCATCCCCTGCCTGACAGGGCTCTGGCCTCGGCCAAGAAACCTGCCAGGGGCTGGGGACACCGGTGCCTGGCCCATATTCCCCAGGGAAGGCCAAAGCCAGCAGCCCAGCAGGAGGCCCACCTGCCTCGGTTTCCCAGGAGCAAGAACGGCAAACCTTTAGCACTTGCTGAGGCCGAGGCCCTGCCGTCTAACCAGGAGACCCGACGGGTGGAGGGTTAAAACAGGGCTGCTGACCACAAGGCTGGGGATTCAAACCCCCAACATCTCCAGAGGATATATAGGAGGCTGTCTGCTCCCCCAGAGGGTGACACATCTCAGAAATCCTGAACCACGCAGTCAGTCGAGCCCCTCTCCCTGTGGCTCCCCTGCCCTCTGGGGAAGGGGGTGCAGGCACCCTGGCCCAGGACTTCCTGGTCATACTGGCCTCACTGAGTCATCAAGCCCAAAGGGGCCTTGGGCAGAGAGACTCAGCTGCCTGAGTCAGACAGGTGGCATCCTGCTAACCTGTGGCCACTGACTGAGTTAGTTAATTGTGCCAGCCTGGCTGATAATCACATGTGGTGCTGGTTGAAAGGTGGAGGGATAAATGGGTGGTGAAGCCT